TATCATGGTTATCATTGGACTCAAACACTCATGACAGGATGTCTTGCTTGCCTATACACATGCAAGTACTAATGCAGCTTTACCATACTATGAATGCTCTTATATGACGGTAACATGTTTTTCGAATAACATAGTTAAATTTTCGTGAAACATTTCCTCTACTGTTTCGGCTAATTTTAGGTCAATTAAGGTGATATTTAATAAATGTAAATTTTTAGCATTATTTTAAGGAAAATATATATATATATAAAAAAAAAAACAAAAACAAAATTAAAAATAACTGGACACCATTTTAGTGTAGACGAAATGTTTATTACAAATTTTTAACAAAACTTATATGTAATATCTAGGTACCAATGGATAGTAAAATTTTTTAGGGCAATTTTATTTTAAACAGTACGTTATAGGCGAATTGTGAATGTAATAATATTATTATTGTTCTTGATACATTATTTTTTTCTTTTTTTTAATGACAATTTCTGTTCAAATTGTCAAGGAACGAGTTACCATAAAATATTGTGTCGTTTTAATGGTTGTTCATATTTAAGTTTTTTTTTTGTATAATATAATTTATTTCTCCTTTTTTATCTTACTAAATTATTATTATTTTTTTTTTAGTAAATGTCAATTTTAGTCACATATAAATGTGATTGTTGTTGTGTTTTAATGTCTTAGCTTTATATATTATTTTTTTTGGGCTTTTATTTCCCCTTCCTTTTCCGTTTTTAAATCGGACTACTTGTAAAATATTTTTTTTAAATGTATTTTGGTTTATTATCTTATATTATTATCATTATTGAATTGTACATATATACATATACATATACATATATATATATTTTATTAACTATTTATGTAAAATATTTATCAAATTGACCAAAAAAGAAAAAAATCCTGTAGAAACTCCAACAGAATTGTAGCCAATTTGAACAAATTAAATTATATATTTATTCTAACCAAAGTCAATATTTATACATAAAACATTTTCGAATAATAATGCAATTAATATTATAATTAAATTTTTTTAGTTTTTTTTTTTTTTGTTTTGTACAGGTACATAGCATGTAAAAAATAATTTTAATAAATTATTAATGTTACAAAAATTATTATTACAATACACATTTTAAGGTTTGTACAAACATAACAAAGGAATACAGGCGGTTTTAATATTATTATTGTGAATATTATATAATATATAAAATAATAATAATTTGTACGCAGGCAATGTTAATGTTATTCCAATGAAAAACAACATTTGAAAAAAAAATTATATGAGTTGTTGTTTATTCATTTATTAGAATATTACCTTCTTTTATCTATACCAAAAAATAGTTTTATTCAGTGGAATAATGTATGTTAAATTTTGGTAGCAGTAAATGATGTTTTTCGTTATTATTATTATTTATTATCTTTATATCTGTAAATACTTTAGGGTTACAACTGGAATTGTGCTCAAAAAGTTTGAATTCATCCATTTAGCGCTACAAAAAAAAAACTCATTTTTTAATTTGTTTGTGTTTTTAACAACTAAACTGCGTTTCAAAAGAGAGTATACCAGTTCTGCGCACATTTTACCCATTCCACTGGTCACTATCTATGTTATGACATGTGAGAGTTGCGCACCACTGGAAGGAAACCAGTCGCCTCCTGGTATATTCTCTTATGAAACTGAGTATAACCTGTGAGAAGCACTGCATGCTACCATCTACTGTTCTGAATAGATTTTTTTAATGAGTTCATTCTTTGATTTTAGATTCTGAACGGAGTGATGAATGTATTGATTTTACAATGATGTGTTTTTTTTTTGTATCTGTACAGCATAACTAGTCGAAATAATGCTTCAATTTCAAACTTTGAGGGTGGTTTCCGATGAAAAAGTGAATATCCTTGGTGCATTATAGAGGTCAAAAGTAAACATTTTCCAACAGTTTTCATAACAATCGAGAAAAACAAAAAAACGGGAATTTTTACGCAAAACCAGTTTTCGACCAAATCGATTTTTTTATATGGTTGTAATTCAAAAACTAATCTCTGTAAATACTTGAAATTTTCACCAGATGTTTATGTTAGTGTTATCTATATACAGTTTAGTTTTCAAAAAATTTTGACTTTTTTTGAATTAATTATAGACCACTGAAATTTTATCCTCTAACGATAACGCTTTTTAGTTTTTTTTATTATGAATTATTATATAGTACCTTATATATTATATTATCGTATATAATTTGGAATTTGCAGATGTGTTTACTCAGGGGAGTATGTTCTGAAAATTCGGAATCGTATAAATGTTACACCTTACTCTAAATGTCTTAATCAGTTCGTCTTCATGTTGTGCTTAAAAATACATAATATTATATGTTGTGCCCATACAACAAACATATGATGTGCTAGCGATTAGTCAATTTATTAACAACGATGACAATACTATATTAGTGTCGTCAATCTTTAAAAATAGTGGTCGTACGAAATCATAATTCAACGTCCACGTTACTATGATATCCAGTCAAGGGCGTGCTCAGGGTATTCTATCCCCTCCCTTCATAGGCATATTTTTGTCATATAAAATGAATGTATATGTCGTAGGCATATAGTCAAATCAAGCACAGTAATCAGTAGATCAAATTTATTATTTAATTATAGCTATTTTACATTAAAAAAAAATTGTATTACATTTTTTATGATTATGTAAAATACTTAAATACGTAGGTATATGAAATATTTTTAATTTCGTGTCCATCGGTACGATTTTAAAAAAGTTATATTATAAATGAACATTTTGTTAATAATTGTTGGTTATTATATACTTGTGGCATTTTCTGAAACATGAAATTTTTTTTTTTAAACACCTGGCCGGTTTGACATTGCCGCTTCAAATACAGTAAATAAAAAATTTAAAACAACATTTTGAAATAATATTTCTGATTTATTGATTTAGATTTATTTGCACAAGATTGTGATAAACAAAAATCGCAATTAAACTATTATAAAAGAACACCAATACCATAAATTAATCTTGAATTGTTTAAATTTTTCTTTTATTATGTTGGACATGGTGGACACTGTTTCCGCCGTGACCGTGCACGCCTAAGCAAAAAAAAACATGCTGTTGCATACAAATCGGATCCTAGCCCTTATAAAAACCAGTGGCGTGATGAAGGACTATATTTGAGGCACGTGCCTCAGTTTGAGGGGTGGTGGGTGTCCTCAAAGATCATCTAATGTGTTAAAAAAAGCATTATTATTTAAATGAATAAATATATTTTATCTTAAAAAAATGTTTTAATGTTTTTTGTGATGGGTGGAGTGGATGGTTGGTCTGACAATATAACTGTGCCTCCAGGCCCGGCTCAAGGGGTAGGCGGCATAGGCCCACGCCTAGGGCAGCATTTAACATTTTTGTAATCAAGTTCTAATGAAATGTTTACATTTTTATTATGTTTTTATTAATTTTAGATTCTGAGCGGAGCGATGAATGTATTGATTTTACCATGATGTGTGTTTTTATTTTTTATTTTTTTGTGTCTCATTACGTTTTGGGGCATTAAAAATGCTTCGATTTTCGACTTCAGTATTTATTAATCTAATTAATTGTTAATTTTATGTAAATAATTAAAATGAACTCAAAATTAAGACTTGTTCAGTATTGTTTATGTAGTATTTACATGTAAGTGACGACAAACTCAAGTTTGCCTAGGTGAGCACTTGAGCCGGGCCTGTGTGCCTCATAACTTAATGGAGTTCGCCACGCCACTGATAAAAACTATTGTCTATAGTAGACGATCGTTTGTATCAATAATGCATATTATTATTATACTAAACGTCGTGTACATGTAAAATTAATTTTTGTATATAAACCTCGCCAAATGTCTATAAATAGTTCATAAAAGTAAGAATATTCAAAAAATTATTCCATGTGTAGAAAGGGTTATGCGAATATTTAGAAATAATTTCAAGTACCTATCACTGTACCTATGATTATTATTATCTATTATCTAATTTTTTTATCGTATAAAGCCCCTGCTAACCGGGAAAACTGTACACGAACGGATTTTTATGAATTGTTATTATATAGACATACAGTTTTCCTGATTATCCGTGGAAATTTTTAAAATTGTTTTTAATAATAGAAAAAAGAAACAGCATAATATGTGAACATAATATATCAAAAATTAAATTTCGAACAGTGGTTCCTCCAGTGGTGTAGTTAGGGGGGGGGGGKGTAAGGGGCTTCCACCCCCCGCCACCACCACCCAAAAAAAACTTTATATTGGTATTTTATCTTCTGTGATACTGATTATTTTTAAAGAAATCTTTTTTTTGCATTTTTCGATGATGGAATTAATTCCAATTTGAAACAAAATAAAAAATGACGTTTAGTATAACCATAGTTCTGTGGTTTAACTAATTATTTGTAATTTGTGTCATAAATATATTTTAACCCCCCAGCCCCCCCAGAAAAAAATCGTATCTATGCCGCTGGGTTCCTCTATAGAGATTCATTGCTCAAGATATGCAATAATAAGGGATTTTCAATCAAAATTGCATTTTAAATATATAGGTACTCATACAGAAATTTCCAATTGGAAAACGAAAATCTGTTATATTTATTATTAATATACTATATACTAGTTTGATCCCGATACTTCATCGCTCTTTAAAAATACAAACTCTAATGATTCGAGATTTGAGTTCAATTAGGTACATAAGTAGAATATTAAATATTATATATAGATATGTACCTAATATAATTAAGTTTTTTTTAATTTTTAAAATTTTTTATTCCTAATAACTATATATGCCCATGTATATTTTAATTTTATGAAAACGTTTACAGGTATGCTATGGGTGGGCCTCAAATATTTTTTTACAAAATTAGTGGTCCGCGAAACTAAAAATGTTGGAAACCGCTGCTTTAATGCAATAATAAAATGATATCAATTAGCCTTATCACACATATTGTACAAACTATATTATTATCGATATCTGTGGAATCTTTGACCAGCCCATAGTATGAAATCGTTTTCGTTTTAGATTTTATTTTATTTTTACTAAAAATTTAAATATAATGCAATTTAGTTCAATCATTTATTTAATAAATCTCAAATTTGATTACGTTTAAGGTTATTTGTTGTTGTGTTAATAATGTTAACATACAATCTTTGGTAAGCGTTAGCCTRGAATATTGTAAAGTATGTCAAAAAATTGTTTAGTTATGGTGTTGTCGGAAAGCAGTCTAAAAAGAAACAACAGTCAAATTGTTAACGATACATTCTACTGCCCCATCTTGGGTTGCAAGTACAACTTACATTTTGGTCAATCTATGAAATCTTTTAAAACTCAAAAACTTCTCAAACAAGTAAGTATTAGCTTGTACAATTTTAGTGTTGTATGTATTTAACTATTAATATATCTATTTTTAATTTTATAGCACTGTATTAAAGTGCATTCTGACAAAAAATACAAATGTGATAATTGTGAAAAAGGGTTTCCTTTAGAATCCACATTAAAGTCACATCGTATAACATGCGGAGTAATTTATTCTTGTTACTGTGGTGTTCAATACAAATCTCCAGAAGCGTTTCTCACTCATACAAAACGAAAGCAGCATAACATTGGATTAGGATACTCAACTATTATGAAGTTTGATTTATTTTATAAAATGCTTGTAAATTTATTTTCATTTCTATTTTTATATAGGTTTTTGAAGACAAGAAAATTGTTGCCTAACACAGAAGACCTACAAGAATTAGAATCAAGTAAAAGATCTACTCAGACACAAACTGTTACTGATGTTCAAACTTTATCAGATTCATCAACTCAGACTACATTTGAAAATAAGGATTGCATGTTAAGATACAATGATCCAAAACTCTCTTCTGCTACTTCTAGTCCTATAAAACGGTTATGTGCACAGACTCAAACCGATCCTATGGGTGACTCTATWAAAACTGATCCAGATCCTATGTTTTTAGATTCAGAAACACAAACCAATTTTGACAATTTAGACATCTATACTCAGACTGCAGAGTCTGAATGTTTATTTGGTGATTTAGAATTTACCAATATTCAAACACAGACTTATTGTAGCTCTTTATTCAATGATGATTCTATTGACATGAGAAATGATAATTCTTTAAACACTAGCATGATATAATTTAATCAAAACTAAAACACAAAATGGCGTTTAAATTCAAAATATAATGTTCGATTTTTCCTTTGACAGTATTACAAATTATTACTTCTAGTACTGTGGTAATTGATTGTTCTATAAATATGTGCAAATGTATTATAAGTATAGTGCATTCTTGTCTCACCATTTTCCTACATACCCCTCTAAGGCTCTAAACTAATATATGATCTATTATTTTTTAAGTAATTATTTTGAGACTTCAGTAGTGCAAGTAAACACACTATCACCACATTTACTGATAGACTTGTATACACGAAATATGATTCTTTAGCTATTGTTGTTTTAAATCATAAATATGAAAATCTATTTATTATGCTTTATCGACATATTGAATTTTATTTTGTGTACAATTATTATTTTTAAATTTTTTTAATGGTTTTTAATATAATATTTTGCTAATAATATAATACTACTAATTTTAGCAGGGCTCAAAAGTTTTAGCAAATACATAAATATTTTTTATGTAAGTTTTAGAAAATTTAATACATTCTTTTCACACTTCCCTGATGTTGTATACAACATTTTACTTAGCTATTTTTAACATTTACGGTGTACTGTGCAATTTTATTTATTTTGAATTTTAAGTATTAATTTTTGCTATTTTTAGATATATTCTTATAAGTAAATTAAATCAGTGTTATGTAGATTTTTTTTTATATTTACTAGTTAACATCCAAAATTAGAATACTTTGAAATTTTTCGGTAACTCTCATATATTGAAATGAATTATTATTTTAGTCAAAAAACATTTGGTACCTAATTTCTGAGAAGTGGTTAGTGGCAAATGGCAACCCTACATTTATCATATTATATCTACCATTTAATATTATATACCATTATATTTCTATATATAAATATTATGATTAAAAGGTATATAAATATTTTATTAAGCGTATATCAATGTTATAAATTCCATATTAAACCGCTAAAAAGTATCTTTTTAATGCTATAACTTTCTGAACCCTACTTATTAGTAACTATTATTTTTATAAAAATATTTAAATATATTATAACATTTTACTATTTACCTACCTGTGAATATACTCATTTTAATTATTTATGTAGTTATATGTTTATCGATGGAATATTTGTGTTTTTTTTTCATAATATACTACATGAATGAATATGAAAATAAAAAAAGTACTTATAATATAGAGTTTATGTCTTACCCATTGACTTAATTGATAGTAGTTAGAGTACTAAATATTTTATATCAAGTTAGGTATATTGTATACAAGACGTATCAATTTAAACTACTAGTTGTTGCTTACCCGTGTTGCTCACTCGTGATTTGGCCAAAGAACCAAAGTTATTAAATCTAGAATGATGACACCGGTCTTGGTAATCAACATTCCGGACTAGCTGGACAACGAAAGATCGTGTGTTAAACGCGATAGTGGTGGCTGCATAGATATTTCAGGGATCAGCTCAAGGGTGCTCTGGCCCAGTTTTCAGAGGGAGGGCGACTTATGAATAATTTTTTTAAAAAAATACAATRATATAGGCATAATCAATTTATTAAATTCTAATTAGTAACTTCTTGCAGGTCAAGTAATTTTGATCTGCAAATTTCATACACACAAATAATTTAAGTATAAGTAAAAAAGATACAAATATGGTAACCTTTAGTTAATAATAATAATAATAAAATATAAATATAATATTTTAATTAAGTACCAAGTAATTAAATATTTTTATTCATTTTCATATCATGTTTAATGATTCATTTCGCATAAAATTCTATATCGCGATGTACATGCAACAGTTATTTTATATCAAATGTTATGTAAGTACCTGCGTAATGTTGAAAAACTCCTCTTAGCGAAAGCTACACTTACTGGCAAAGTAGCTAATATTATCAGTATTTTTCATATTATAATTACGAAAATATTAAAATAATAAAAAGCAAAATACTGAGGCTCAGGGAGGGGGGGCGATCGCCCCCTGCTAAAATACATCATTGGATCAGCTTAATGGAGAATGCGGGAGGTGGCAAGGTAGCCAGGCACCTGGTGGACATGGAAACAGATCTCAAGCGTTTAGCACTCAAAAAAATTAGAGTTGAATGGAGCTTATGCTACGTCAAACTTCTAGAAACAAAAGCACAGATCTGCTATAAATGTCAAGCGAGTGGTCATATCGCGGTAACATGTCAAAGTGAAGAAATTCATCCCAAAAAAATGATACCGGTGTCGCGGAACAGGAAACTTAGCGGCAGTGTGTCGTGAAGCAATACTTCTAAAAATAGCGGAGGTCCGCTGGAGAAGCGGGAGATGAATAAGTTCATCCAAGTGAACCTGAACCACTGCAAGGTGGCTCATTTGGCTCAAGATCTGCTCCGACAGCACGTGGTCGTGCAGAGTGCAGAGGTCGTGCTGATCCCTATACTCTTTTCTTGCAGGGTCAACTTTACGGTTCACCGGTTCCAGCAGATAGCAGCCATTTGGCTGGTAGACAGCTAAGTTACCGCCGCCGAAGTTCATAGAGACCCAGAGTTCGTGTTTATCCAACTAAACAGAGTCCATTCAGCTGTTACGTGTCACCCCACTAGACGCGGGTCGAGTTTAAATACTTTCTGCGAAGGTTGGAGGTCAAGGTCAGGGCCGTTAAACCAGTGGTCCCTGTTCGAATCACGGTGGATTTTAATGCACGATCAGTGTCATGGGGTGACTGGTGCCGCGACACTCGAGTAGACGACCTAAGCATTCTGTTCAACTTTCATTGGCTAAATGTTCTAAATGATGGATCCATGCTTATTTTTGTGGGCATAGGAAGAAGTTCTATTGTTGACCTCACTACGATGTTAGAGTCCATCGCAATGCGGGATTCAGGATGCTGCGTATGCGACAAGGTTTAAAATATGGTCGACCACCAATATATCTCATTTGCACTGGAGGCCATCAGAAACTGAATGTCCGTATGCACATACGAGCCGAGGGATTTGAAGATAGATGCCGAGAACAGCAGCTAAGACATTGAAATTGACGAAATTGGACTTCTAGCGAAATGGACGGGTAATCGAGCTTTGTTTGCAGCGTCAGCCAACGCTCACCAGCGAGCACGGGCTGTTCATGAGTCTATTGCAACTTCCCCATGTGTAAGCCACAAGCCCACTGGTGGAACGCCGAAATTGTTTCAAAACGAAGAGCATACGTTGTGGCAAAGCAGGTCAAAACGAGGTGCGTTACGAAACTCCATCTCTGTCGCGTTCGTGGACAAGGCATAACAGTCGGCGTAAACATCATATAGTTACAAGGAAGCCAGGATATACTTAAAAACTGCCATTGCACTTAGCAAGACTAGGTGCTGGAACGAATTGCTTGAAACCATTGACCAGTCAAGGTCTGTGTTGCGTAAGATTAGATTAGGTTAGGATAGGCTGTGACCCTCCTTGGCGTGGGGTGAGGGGGTCTATCGTCCTTCTTTGACTCCGCAAGCTATACCGTCAGGGCTACCCATACCAGAAAAGTCGCATATGAGAGGGTCAACCTAGAGGTTCTTAAAGATAGGACGGGCTCTATAGCCTTGGCAGGGAGCCGCCCTAGATGAAGGTAGCGCTGATTTAAAATCCACATTGGATAAGAATAAAATAGAACGGTAATATCCGATTGAGCACGGTCGTTATCGGCCGACCTTTTAGACGACCCGATTAAGCACGATAAAAAATAAATATTGTGTACAACGTTGTCAGGTTTTCACTAGTACTTACGTATGTTGGTAGATATTACCAACAGGTAATTACTTACATATTAGTCGAAAACGATTTTGTTATCGATCGATGGGTAGGTATACCCACGGAAGTTAAAAATAACTAGGATAGATAGGAAACCAGAATTTTATCTACAACGATTGCACTAAATTGTGATTAACTGTTATTGTATGTACTTATGCTGTTAATAAGACTTGGTCACAGTCAGTCTGTTCTGTTGTCTCGTGCTCGTAGTGTGGTAGTGTGCAAATTTTACGATGGAAAATAATGATATAAAAATTATTTTATCCGAGAGAGGTAAAGAGTTGGCAAATGTTGGAGCTTTCGAGTACAGCTAGGTTTATTGGGTCCAGGAAAAATGGCGATGTACAAAAAATTATTGTAGCGCAACAATCTATTCTGGCCAAGAGAAAAATATTTTACTGCAATCAAATGGACAACATCATCATGACGGAAATTCATTAAATAAAATTTAAAGGCAAGTATTACAAGAAAATTGCAACCGACGAGCTGAAGAATCGATGTCAATTCAACCTCTTAAATTAATTAGACATGAACTCTTCCGTAATACTGAACTAACGTCCATTGTCCATAAAGATTTGAAAACAGTTCGAAAGGCTATTTATGATAGACGAAGAAAGTTGAGAATTAGGAATGCGGGTTTAGGAGAGGAAAATCCACAACAGGCCATGTTTTCGCGCTAAGACAGATAATGTCAAAATACTACGAATTTGGAAAGGACCTGCATCTAGTCTTTGTGGATTACAAGCAGGCGTATGATAGTGTAGACAGAGAAGAGCTTTGGAAAGTATTGGTAATTTTAGGAATACCCAAAAAGTTTGTGAATGTAATAAAAGCATGTTACGAAAAAACACTATGCAGAGTGTGTTATATACAAGGCATCTCAGATCCTTTTGAAGTTAAATCTGGCCTTAAACAAGGGGACGCGTTGTCACCTGCACTATTTAACTTAGCCCTCGAAAAAATAATTAGAGACACAAACGATGACAGAAGGATGGAGATAAGCAATGAACCAGTTATGTCAGCCTACGCAGATGACATTGTGCTGATGGGTGAAACCAAAGAGGAAATCATCAACTCAACATCTAAACTCGTAAATGCAAGTAAAGGAATAGGATTACATGTAAACGAGGGGAAAACTAAGTACATGGTCGTATCGAGAAGACCACCAAATATAGATTTCATAGTATTGGATGATTATAAATTTGAAAAAGTTGATAATTTTAAGTACTTAGGCGTAAACATCAACAGCAAAAATGATATGCATATAGAAATAAATTAACGGATCACTAATGGAAATAGATGTTATTTCAGTATTATCAAACTCCTGAGGTCTAAGCTGTTATCGAGAGGATCAAAGATACTATTATATCATAGCTACCTTCGACCTGTGATAACATACGCCTGTGAAACCTGGTCGTTGACTAAAGGTGATAGCGGAAGACTTATCACGTTCGAAAGGAAAGTGTTACGAACCATTTATGGACCAATCTTCAACCCAGAAACACAGACATACGAAAGAAGAAGCAACGAAAATATAAAGTATCTTTATAATAAGCCAGACATACTCTATTTTATCAGGAAAAAACGATTAGAATGGTTCGACATGCATGGAGGGCAGATGGACAGCTAATTAAAAATGTACTTATCAATAAAATAAATAGAATGAGACCCCTAGGACGGCCCAAAACCCAATGGATTGACGTAGTTGCCAAAGATATAGAAATGATAGACCAAGGTGCAACGTTAGAAACAGCATATCAGAGAGAGAGGTGGAGAGAGATTYTGATGGCAGCGATGGTCCTGAATGGACCGCTAAGCTGATGATGATGATTTTTTCCTTACCAATAATCTTGTCCGCCAGTACAAATTCGTTTTACCTCATTAAAATTATATACAATTTATATTTTATCGGCTTTCTGTATATTTGAATACTGTAGTCTGTAAAGGGTCTCCTAACCCACACCGCTTTTTAAACCATACTTTATCTCTGTCTAAATTATTACGTTCAAATCATATTTATTATGTAATTCAATGTCTATTAGGAGGACGTTATACGTTATACCCGCATGTGTTGTCTCCGTCTTACAAGTGCGTAACATACCAAATTTTATGCTCATCAGAACAAGAGTTGCTCTGTTAGTTTAAAATTTAGTTAGCAGATCAGGTTTAGGTCCGTTAGTTTAAAATAAAGAGTGAATTGACCTCTTATAAAAATTAAAGGTAACATCCTTATTGAGGGCTTCTCATAGGCTTTTTAGTATATTTCAATTTTAAAGTGAGTTATGAGTATTTTAAAATTGTAAGCTGTTTGTATATCTTTAAAATACTCATAACTCGTTTTAAAATTAAAATTTACTCTTTACCCTTTAGCCTCTCTTTACTATCCTTAGGCTCGTAGTTAGGATTCAGATCGTTACGAAGCAAAAAAATGAGTAAAATAATAAATTTATAATTATTATATTATAAAATATGACATACATACTGATAGTTATTACACTTCATGCCATATATATATATTTTAAGAAAAATATATTCGTATAATGAATACCTAGGTACCAACATTTTTCATCGTAGAATTTTATGTAGGTAAGTAATATAATGTGAAAATGATTTTTTTGTCATCAACAAAAATATATTATAATGTATTTGACTATATAGGAATAATATTGTGAACAATAAATGTATTTAAATTATATTTATTTTTTTATTACATAATACCATCAATATAATAAATATATGAATTTCCACAATAGTAAAGTTGGATTTATATCGTTGACATAACGTATATTTGTTTAATTAGTACAACCACTACATAATAAGAGTTTAAAACTAGTAGTGTATTAACACATAATTATTAATAATATAGAAAATAAATAAATAAAAAGTTTACATTTACATTTAATAAAAAAAAACGTTAATTTTACTTAAAGAAAGTTTTCAAAGTATATAATCTACATTTATAAGTAATAGATAATAATATTAAAGTGTTAATTATTAGATGATGGCCAGGCGTTTCTAACAATATACTTAAGATTTCTGGCATTTATTGAATTTATATTTAAAATATGATTTGACTAAATAAATTTTCAATAATTTTGACACTTCTAGAAAAATAATTAAATAAGATTATTATAGTTTTATTTGGTATTTTTTTTTAAATTAAAATAAGCCAGTATGTAGGTTTAGTATACTGTATTACAGTATTAACATTTATAATAATTATTTATTTACTTATAAATATTAATAATAATAATAATAGATTTATTGGTTTGTTTATAAGGCTTATCATATTTTACATGTTCTTAAAAAAATATTGTTTTTTTATTGACTTTTGGTAACAATAAATTATACCACAGCTTAATATGTTAATTTTAACAGTTAACATAATAATATGTATTGCTGTGAAAAATAAATAGTTTTGAAGCTAAATATTATTTTAAGAAATAAAAAATGTGTAATAAAAGCTTTCATCATGCATCAACTAGTAAGCATATATATATTTAAATATATATATATATAGGAGTTAGGTACCCCATAATATATATATATACCTAGTTTTGGTTTTATGTTGTTGCAAACAATTGCATTAGGGACTCGTTGATTTGAAATTGCACCCCAAACATTATAGATATCGAAGGCTCATAAATGCCAAATGGCATAAACATAATACATTAATACCATAATATGTGGTACCATGCCCGGATGACTAGATTACGTATTAGAACTATAGTAATATCTTAAGTATTATTTGGATAGCTAAAGATTTATTTTAAATTTCTACAGGTACATCATAATAAATAATAAATTTGATTTTTAATAAAAATTAGTAAGAACTTTAATGGCATGTATTCTTTCACACCGGAGACTCCAGAGTTTGAGATCCGGCACAGGTTTTATAAATAATATAGGAATTATATAAGATTTCGACCTAAACAATGTATATATGTTATAAGCGTTATAAAGTATTATCTACATAATATATATTAGGCAATCAATAACCATTTACTGACTTATTGTTTATCTGTAGTATTATTTAGTTATCCGCGATAAATAATAGATACAATAAATATAATAATTGTATGGTTCAAACATAATTGACATTAAGATAAAATATGTCAAAAAAATAAATATATAATAATATTATACTCATTGATTATTGTAATAAAGAATTATCTTTTGTGTTTAAGCCTTTCAGGCCCTCACGATGGCGTACATTCAACGGGGTTTTATAGCTATACAGTATTCTTCTATGAGAAATATAAATTAATAACAATAATATTTTATTAGTGTTTATGAAATTTTTATTTTTTATTTCATTTGATCTAGGAAGATGGAGTATATAGAGAGAGATTTATACTCTGACTCTTTCTGTGTGAAAGAGTCAGAGTATATAAACTAACGAGGATTTTATTTTTTGTTTGAGCAGCTTGAAATCTATTATTATTTCCTAAGGGTTAAAACTAAATCACGATAAACACGCGCGTATAATCACATTTTTGTTAGTTGTCATCTATGTTTTGTAATTCGATGAATACATCAAATATAAACGAGGCTAAAACGAATGAAAATATTACGTCTCATATCACATAGGTACTATAAAATATTATTGTTATATTTTTTCATGTAATGATCATAACTGTATTCCATACAGACATTAATTTACATAGACCGTTAAAAATTAATGTAATATAAATACTATATATGAATCCAAAAATAATGCCATTTTATAAGTTTTACTTAAAATTATAATAATTTTTTATTCTATACCTAAAATATAATATAATAATAATAATAGCTATAAATAGTATAGTATGTATTGGTGTTTCGGTTTTTAATTTACTGGTTAGAAAATAACTAGATGCTAATTGATAATTTTTTTTAATGTGAAAACTAAAAAGCTCAGGCCAATCGGGACATTATTTATATTATTATGTACTTACAATTAGATAGATACGTTATTATTATTAAAACTTGGTTAACGAAAACGTATTCGTATGTATTCGTAAGGACTATGAGTCTATGACATGAGAAAACTGACTGAATTTAATCAAAACACGTTAAAAAGTATTTTAACGTATAGTTAAGCAAATGATAACATATAAGTAAGTTGATGGCGGTTGCGATGGATTTGTTGTTATAATGGTGGTTTGTCGTCGATTAAGAAAGATCCATTGATTCGTCTGAGTTTTGTAGTGCTAATTGTAGACGTCTGTCGATTTCGGCAGCCGCTGCTGTTGCCGCCGTTACAGATGACGATGGCCCGGTGTTTGCGGCGACTGAGGACGACACAGTCACACTACCGGATTCTTCTTGCGAGTCCTTGAATGGGTCCAGTTCACCCCTCATTTCACATATGATCTTGGTCAGGGCGATGATGTAGTTTTTGGCCAACGTGAGCGTTTCGATTTTTGACAGCCGACGGTCCTTTTTTACGTGTGGTATAACCTCCCTTAGGGACTGCAAACGATATAATATTATCATAATGATTAAATGCAATGGTATTATATAAAACAACAACAGGGGTTGTGTTATAGTACAGCTAAGTAGCACGTATACATGCGATGAGTGCATATTTTCCTTCCCCTTAAGAGTTTAGTTTTGGAGTTTTTATGTATTTGTTGACATGTATAATATCTTTTACAATACAATTATCATTAAATACATAAATTAAAATATATAACTGTAAAAAAAAAAAAATAATTCATAAAATTAATTAATGTGGGGCTGCCAGGGATAATTCCCGTAGTAAATTGTGTTAAAAAATTGGTTCTTGTTTGTTATCATCGCGTCACTGGTTAGGTTAGGTTCCTAACCTAACCTTAAAACATTTAATATATTTAGAAGGATGTATAATTATTTCCTATAAATATTTAGGCAGAGATTGCAATGAACACAATAATAGTATGAATCTTTTCATGTAAGATTAAATGTGAGTTTTGGTGCAGATAACACAGCATTTTTGTTTTAATTCGAATTCTCCTTTGAATTCAGAGTAAAATGTACGTATCACATCAGAGCTCAGCAACATAACCGTATTGAAAAACAGTAGAAAAAGAAAAATATGATTTGTTTTACTAGCAGAGAACTGATCCTGTTAAGTTTTGCGAAAGATATTGTGTCTTTTAAATTTTTTCCTTAATTTAAATTATAACATAGGAAAAAATATTGACGGTTAAATGAAGCTATTTTAATAATATTTTTAGTATTTTCAGTATTTTAATAATTTTATTCATTAGATCGTTATCTCAATTATTTAACAAAAAACAAAATTTTTGGGAGACTTTTCTAGCCAATCTTCACGTGATGTCTCCTGGATAACGTATAGTCTGGACCTAATTCGTATACTCGATAAAACACSTCCAGATTAAATTCATGCCATCTCTGTGATTTGGGACTTAATTCAAGGTTATTATCACCTAGTCACCTTACGTCAGCAGAATTTAATCTAAAATGTCGATATTTTTTTGTATMTCAATATTTTATGTGTAGATTGGTCTAGACGTCTAGTATAGGGGTGACCAACATGAATACGTCCACGAACGATATGGATAAATACAATGATACCAAGGGCCAAAATATTTATATAAATACATTTTATATTTTTATAATTTAATCGTATTTTATGGTTATAATAAGTAAATATTGTTTTTTTTTAACTAGATGCGAGCCGCATATACGACTATRACACGAGCCGTATATTGGCCACCCCTAGTCTACTATGTGATCTATTCTGATAATTTATGRAAAAATGGTAAATATTTCTTATAATATTTGAAATTGWATKTATTTATATTATAATCATGTTAGTACTTTTGTTGTCGTGTTATCGCTTCATTGTAGACGATTTTAGTTTTAAGTGTACACTTATTTTATAAATAACGTTATTAATTTGTTTTAAAATACAGATAGTTCCCATCGTATTTAAACGGGAATTCAATTCTTACAACTTATAAAATGTGTGACAATTAAGGATCATTGTGAAATTATCTTATTTTTAAAATATAAAAACGTATATTTATGGAATATCAACTATCTATTAATTATGTTAATCGTTAGCTTCCTAGGTACTATATTAATAACTTTAAGAAATGTATTATTATTTAGTATTTATTTTTTTATTAAAGTGTTGTAACGGTAGGTGTGTACAAAGTACGGAAGTAGACAGTATAGTGGACGGTCACCACTCATCCGGTGGTGGAGTAATACACCTACATTTTATACATTGCAGTGGCGGGCGGCATATTACTATTCTGCACACGAAATAAAACCCGTATGAAAATACAGCTTTCTCATTGGTTCCATATTTGGTGGGATAAAATATTTAAATTATTTTTTATTATTATAATTATTTTTATTAGGTTCACGCTCAACAATATTTTGGCATATCCTTTCTAATTTAATCTAGACAAAATATATTTAAATATTTTAAATACTTAATTCATAATCATGCAATAGAAATATTTATTAGATTAAATAGATTTTTATTCGAAGCTAGCTTTAATGCTTTATAATATAGTATATAAGAATTAATCTGTTGTTAATCTAAATTCGTATTTTTATGGCTACTAACTATAAATTAAATACCTATAGGTGGTAAGAATTATAATATATAAGTACATTTTATTATAAAGGATAATAAATAAATAAAAAAAACTTAATGATAAATAATTATAATAGGAAAAAAAATGAAATGTACCTATAATAAACTAACATAATACATAGATTAACTTTTAAACTGTGTTTTACATTGAATTTATAGGAAGTTTAATGAATAAAAATTTTCTTATTTTCACAAAAGTTTTATCATAAAAGTTTCCTCGTGGAAACAGTATCAACTTTACTGACAATTTTAATTGTCGCTTTACAGTGTGTTTTTTGATCTACCTCTTTTGTTATTTTCTCTATCAACTTTGTGGTAAAAGATATGATGGCACACATATTGTTTTYTAAGATAATAATACAAACATAAATCATACAATCGAGAAATCGTTTAAACACTTTCAATTTATTTCAATATAGAAAAAGTTGATAAGGAGACTAACATGCATTGAATGTATTTACCATTTGGGACAGATGTCCTAACATTACACTTAGGTAGCACAAGTTTTAAAAGAAAATTCTTCTATCCAATTAACCATACTTGATAAATTATTCAAATTTGACCGTATCGTTTTAATATCATAATTAATTACAGTTATAACATTTTTAAATGATGAAGGGAGATTTTCAAGGGTTAATTTAATAATGATCTTTTAAATTTAAGAAATATACAATAAGAATAAAAATAAAAATAATGAACTTGGACTAATAGACTCAAAACACTTAAATAATCTATGTGTGATAAAATATTTTTTTTTCTAATTATCATATAATCATATAATAAAATACAGCATAATTTGTTCTAAAAATAACCTATTCCAAATAATATAGCAAATAACAAMAATAATTTATTCAACAAAAACAAAATAACATATATACTAATTTAAATAATAGTAATATGAATTAAAATTTGTTTGCTACATAATTTCACTAACATCTAATTAAGTATTATAATAGATTTGATTATTATATAACTTACAATTAATTTTTTTATATTATACTTCATAGGCATTATACACAATACGTGTGAGGTCTGACTTTTGTTTTTAATTTTGTATAAAAATCTATTTAATCTGAATAGTGATGGTGGACTACTGGCAAGATGTTATTGTACCTGCTTATACAACATGATTTTGATTTATCAACAAAATCTTTTAAAATGGGTTGGACACGATGACATTGTTTTGCATTACTTTATCAATTAGGAGGGTTTAAAATAAATATTTCTATTGCATGATGTTTACAAATCTATTTTTAATTTTATTTTAATGCCACTAGTATACAACTATGATAACTTAATAGTTACAATACAATACGAATTTRGATTAACAACAGATTAATTCTTATATACTATATAATAAAGCTAGCCTCGAATAAAAATCTATTTAATCCAATAAATATTTCTATTACATRATTATGAATCTAAATATTTAAATATCTTGTGTCTTGATTAAATTAGAAGGGATAGGCTAAAACATTGTTGAGCACGGACCTAATAAATTTTAATTATGATGATAATAATAAATTTAAATATTTTATCCTGCCGAATGTGGAACCAATGAGAAAGCTGTATTTTCATATGGGTTTTCTTTCGTGTGCAGAATGGTAATATTCTGGCTGGTGATAGTTAGCAATTCGCTTGTACTAGTAATTTGTATTTCTCACGGCTTCCACCCCTTATGTAGCGGAGCTTCGATTATAGGCGCAATAGCCCATAGAAAAAAGGAAAAAGGCACAGTATTATTTAATGTGATATATATATATATCACATTAAATAATACTTAATAATTGTTAATAAAATGTAATTTTAGCAGTRAACTCTACGTTTTATACTCTGCGTTATCGAGAATATATAAAACTTATATAGTACATACTAAAATATTAGTTACATCTTTGAACTAATTTTGATTTGATTAGTTCAATCTATCTAATTGTGGTAAGTGGTAATGCTTACCATCACTAAGAATACTACAATAGTAACTCAAGAGTCAAGGTATGTAATTGTATGATAGACTGATATAATACGATTGTGGAGCCATTCGGAAAATATGTTAATTACACCATATGCTCGTACTTAATAAGCTGCAAGCATTTGACACGCACTACAGTTCCAGATCACGCGTGGTTATAATGGTTACAGACTTATAGTATAATAGTATAATGACAATAAAGTAAGTTTCTATTAATATGTATTCATCAACAACACACAAGTAAAAATATATACAGGGAGCATCAACGGCGTATTTAAGAATTGTTATAGGGAGGGGATGACCCATTGAATATCACACATAAAAGTAAAATATAAAAATGCTAAACACAATTTAGTGTCTAGTTATATATATATATATATATATAGGTAAATTCTTTAAAAATAGAAAAAAAGACCATGTGGGGATCAATCCCCCCCCCGTAAATACGCCGCTAAGTCAGGGAGATTCTTTAAGCATGCTCACCTCCTTTTTTGTTAATAATGCAGCTATTCAAAATCTGATTTTTTAAATTTTTTAATAGATCATATTTTCAAATTCTTAAAATGTTTTATATCACTTAAAAAGTGCTCTGTGGAGATACAAACTTCTGTTTTTCAAATGAGAACCCCAATCCCATTTTAAAATGTAAATCATTTAAAAGGTTTTTTTTTCTGAAAATGTTGATGTATCAGAATCAAAATTCATAAGAGTAGATTCTTTAGAGTAGTTTAACTTTATATATTAAGAATACAAGTTTTGTAATTAAGGTATGGAGGTTATAGACCTATGGCGATTTTAATAATTTACTGATTACTATATTAATCATTACCATTAATAATTTGATAAATACCTAATAGATTTAATATTATATTTTAATATTTATTATAT